ATGATTGCAGGTAAGTGTGATCTGGAACACAGCTTTGAAGAAGTTTGGCATTTGGGCGGCAGCTTCAAAAAGAAGAAAACCTGAAAATTAATTGGAGAAAATGACAGTTCCCGGTATGGCTGTGCCTTCAAACAGCATTTGAGCTAAATACTCATGGTGATTGCACGTATGCATGTCCACAGCTTCTCTTATTACATGTAGACTCTGCAGTCATTATAAACTATGATTATTCATGTGTTCAGCCCAAGAAACTTTGGCGAAACAATGAGTGGAGGATAGATGACTTCATCCCAAAGAGTTTCGATGTAAGCATAGCTAAAATCAATTGAAAAATCACAACAGTCAGAGTGGCTGACCGGTGCTGCAGCTGTACAACCCAAATCACGTTTTGCTGTAATGCCTTGCAGTTGAGATTGAGCCCGTTTGTTCTAGCTGACTGGCTTTTTCTTTGGAAGTGTGAAGCTCAGCATTTTCAGAGCAGTGTGAAATAAGGAGTGTAGAAAAAGGACTTGGAGCAGTGAGGTGGCTAATTGAAAAATGCTATCGGAGCTGCGCTTTCTAACAAAGACACTGCCAGGTTTTTATGAGTAAGTCACTTCAGAGTTGAGTTTTGATCTTGAATTTTGAATGAGTCACATTTATTTTTTAATAGCAGCATTTTGATAAAAAGGAAACAACCTCCTGTTGGTTGCCATAATGTCTAAGTGTCCGTGACTGTGTCTCTAAAAGCAAACATAGAGGAAGCAAGAAGAGACTGTTAGGTTCAGGAGTATCCGAGTGTGTTATTCTAGTGTACCTCTGTCTTCCAAGTGAGATGAACTCAGGAGCCATGCGAATGCTGAGGATGTTTAGTCTTATCTTTGTTTTACTTGGACAGCTGGAATATGTTTCCGTGGCCTCTGCGTGGTCTTTCCCCACGTCTTACTGATGGTGCTGTGCAGGTCACTGATGATTTGTTGAATCCAAGAGAGACAACTGCAGTCACAAAACGTAATGATGCTTTAAAGCAAAATAATTCTGTAAACTACAGCTCAGAGGAGAGATATTATCGTCTCATTCAATAGCTTGTCTTCCCTTGTGAGCTGTCTTGTGTGTTTTGCATTGCCTTGCAAAACTTTTTTTTTTTCCCTGAAAGACCTTTGTCCACTCTATAAAAGCATTTTTGCATTTGACCTCAGCTGATAGCCCTTGCTTCTGAGAGAGCTCCACTGAGCTCAAGGGAAGGGGACCAGCAGGATGCAAGTAAAAGCCTGCTGATACTGTGGCTTCTTCTGTTCTCTGCCACATATTATGCAGAGTGAAATATAACACATCTGACTGTTTGGTTTGCTAATTTCAGGCTTGGAGCACAGCTGGTAGGCAGGTGGACTGTTAAGAGGCAAGGAAAAGATCTAAGATTCACCATCTTATGAACTTCCAAGAAAAAAAAAAAAAAATTATGCTGCTTGAACCCCAAACGCTGCTGGAGGGAACAGGAGAAATTTGGAACGGGAACTGTCTTCCTTTTGGATCGCTCTCATAGGGTGCCTTGGTGTGCGTGCTTCTTACAGAAACAGAAGGTGATTTTTCGTGCATAATTCTTCCCAAACGTATGAATCAAGAGTCTCTGAAGCAACATCTGGAGAAGTCCCGAGAGAGAAAACTGTGATTTCTCTGAACACAAAGATCTGTTCATTCACAAGATTCTGGTATTCAGACAGAAAACAGCACAGTTCTCCAATTTTCATTTAATGGGATTTGTAGCTAGTGCAGCATTTAACTTTCACTTTTGCCTTTTCTTCCCAGAACATTATGCAGCACCACAGTCACTTTTAGGTGTTTATAGATAGACCTTTTGGGGAGATTTTTACCCTGGTGGTGCCCACCGTTGTCGTTCAGCTGGAGTAGATGTTCTCAGTGCTTCCAGCAGTCAGTTTTTCAGTCTCGGCTGTGTAAGCACGTGCGTGGTATGTGAGTGAAATAGCGACCAGACTTCGACTTGTGCAGTCCGAAAGAAAACCTGGAGACTGTCTCCATGGGCAGGTTCAGTGTAATGGTCAGAGAGCAGCATTGCAAGGGGGAAGCAGGGAAGAGCGAGGAGTTCTGCTTTATCTCATCTGTATGGGAACAAAGTAAAATTTTCAGAGTGCCATCAGCATCGAAATGTAACCTTGAAGCAAAAGTAGTACCGACTGAAAAGGGCTGTGAGAGCAGCTTCTTGAGGACAACCAGTGTTAGTATTTCTTTGTTAGGTGACTTTTGAGCTGGGTTCAAGATGAGTGAGCAAACTTCTGGTTTTGTTTTTTTTTTTTCCCCTGCATTTAAAAGAGTGTTCCTGTCCTGCCCTGCACATCTTGTTTATTATGTGGCGGTTACACCAGCATTTCTGACTTGATTTCTGTCTATGTGGGTGGTGAGGCACTGGAACAGGTTGCCCAGAGAAGCTGTGGCTGCCCCATCCCTGGAAGTGTTCAAGGTCAGGTTGGATGAGGCTTTGGGCAACCTGGTGTAGTGGAGGGTGTCCCTGCCCATGGCAGGGGGTTGGAACTGAATCATCTTTGGGGTCCCTTCCAACCCAAACCATTCTGTGATTCTGTGATTTCCTTGTGGTGACGTATTTCAGGTCGGAGCAGGTTGCTTGGGAAGAGACTGGGCTGGGGGATGTGGGCACTGAGACTGTTTACGCTGAAAACTTTATGCCACTGAACAACGCCTTCTGAATGCCATAAAATGTGCGTGATTTCAGCGTGAGCAGGGAAATACTGATACTGCCATTTGGCAGAGCGTGGAAGTGCGGCCACAAGAGTTAGATCTCAGAAGGAAGGTGTGAATGAAAAAATAGCACAATTTTTTCTCCTTTTCTTTGCAGACTAGAGTTAAGCTAATGCTCGCCTGTGCATATGCAGTGTCCAAGGTCTTCAGCGTGTCAGGCATGGAGTGCCAGATTGTCTTTCTTTCTACCAGAACATTTATGCTTTAATTTGGGAAACACAGTGGGAACTGATAGCATCTTGTTTCTGAGAGAGACTTTCCGATAATCTCACTGGTGGTGTCACGTCTCCGTGTGAGACACTCGCTCCTGGCCGCTGCTGCGGCGACAAATTCGGCAATAACGCGGCGCTCGGAGCTGCTCTCGGGTCACTGCACAAGGCACCCTTGGCACCCAGGCTGGGAGTTGCCAGCCCTTTTGTTACACAATTAAACTATACCATAAACTCTTCATTTCAGTGAGGGGAGAGGCAGGAAGGACTCCTACTCATTGCCTGTTTTCTTTTCTAGTTTAACATTTTCCAAGTCACCCTGGAATCCCTTGGTCCTGTTCCAGAGTCCTTGTGTGAACTAGTGCCATTTAGATGCCTTTTAATGAGGTTGAAAGAGACTGAGGAGCTGGTGACGTTTTAAAAGGGTATTTGCATGATTTGCATGCCATTCCTTTGCAATTCTGTGATGGTTTCCAAAACCTATTTAGTCTCGTCAGTCCCACCTGTTTGCTGTTTGAGGAGGGGTCTCAGAGAGAGGCATGGTTTCCAAAATGTCTGATAAATACTGAACAGGTTATTGAATACTTTTGATTTCCTGCATTTTGGATATCTTGGGCCGGGATTCTCTTACGGACAAGTGCAGGCAGAGCTGTTGCACCAGAAATCCAGAGCTACAACCTGCTGTGTTTTGATTCTGGAAGAGCTCTACAGGCTTTCAGCTCATTGCAGCGTAATACTGTTCTTCAAACAAATCACACACAGACCTGTACGCCTTCTCTGCAGTCAGTTAACTCCTTTCTACCAGTTGAGAGAGCACTGCAGAAGCAAAACTGGGTCACACACTCCACAAAGGACAAGCGACTACAGATGACGAGAGCCTGTGTGCTCTCTGTCGCTGAAAAAGGGACTAAAATTAGCTCCCGACTCTTATTCGAATTAAAAATTACCCAAGGGGAAAAGAACTAATTCTCAAAAAGACAACTGTTACATCTTAAGCCCACACAGTCTCAACCACGTATTACTTCAACTAACGAACAGAAAGGCAAAAATAAAAAGGCGGTAGCCAAACTTTCGGGGAGAAAAGGGATTTCATTTTCCCTCGTGTATCTCAGAAGGGAAACGCGAATGAGGTTATTGGGGACCCCAGACGAATGTTCCTATGCCACCCTCCATGCAGTGCTGCAGCAGCATCTCTTCACTCTACCAAAACATCACAGGTTTTAACTGTGGAGTAGTGCCATATACACATTTTGTCAAAATAAACCTTAACTAAATGGGTCTTGCAAGACCAGTGAATGACTTGGCTGCTAGCACAACTTTGTGCAGGATCAGCATTTTCCACGAGCATTTATAAATGTGATAGCAGAAGCAGAGAGTACGAATATTGCAAAGTTGCTGCCTGATGCCAAATGCTGTCAAGAACACACAAATTTGTTAATATAGTTTTAGATTCAGAGAACAAATCATATGCCCAGATTAAGGAATACCCTCTGTTTACGGCATAATCTCTAATTTTGTAGCACTGTGCTTATAAATCCTTTGCAGCTTTAGAGATCACCTTGTCCAGCAGAGCAAATGTAGTGATTTTTTTATATCTCTGAAAATTAAGGATTTTTCTCTAATGTTAAATAAAATGTTTTCCTAAGCAACAAGGACTATGTGGAGGTGAAGGCAGATCACATTCTATAGCAATAAAGCCTTATGTACAGTATAAAACCAAAATGCAACTAAAAAAATGATTGTTACAAGTAGCTTTTCACAAAGATGAATTCCTGATCCCAGAAAACATTAAACAGCTGTGCCTCCACTCTTCCTTAAGAGAATCCCTGCCTAACATAGCCTAAACGCATTAAATTAAAAATATCCAATAACCTGTCCAGTATTTATTGGATGTTTTGGAAGCCGTACATCCCTCTGAGGCTCCTCAAGCAGAAGGAGTTTTCATTGCCAAAGTGAACTCTGCCATGAGGTGGTGATGGCTGAAAAAGACCCAGAGGTGAAGATGGCACCGCTGGGAGTTTTGCAGCCTCCGTTTCCTCCCCAGTGGGTGAGACCCTGCGCACTGATCTCCATCCTGGCAGCACTGCTGCTCTGAATGGGAAGCGAGGCCTGTGAAGAATGATCTCCTGGTCCATAATCTCCTTTTCCATGGTTTCCTCTCCATTCTGGAGATAGATGGCTTCTTTTCAGCACTCTCTACTCAAATTTTGTATAGCTATCTGTTTTGTCTCAGGGTTACACAATTACTGTCCTTGGTGGAGCTGCTTTAGCGACAATTGGGGTGTAGACAAGTCACGGAAATTTGAATTACGCAGACGCGTAGTCTTTCTCCAAATCATGTCCCGTAATTATGGCCTGTGGGCATCTATATCCTCAGTCACAGTGATGGAAATGTTAATGGGAAAAATGTCATTGGTAAACAGAAAAAGAGATGTGTGAAGTCCTTGGAGCCTGGTGTTCTCAAACAAAATCTGCCTTATTCTGGGGACAGATCGAGGTCTGATGTAAAGACAGAAGGGTAGTTGGGGAAGATGGTACCTGTGGGTTTGTTTCTGCTTTAAAACGTTCAGAAGTTTTTTCTTGGTTTATTTTGCAGTTTAAAAGTGCTTTTGTTTACCCTCTTTACCTTCCAACATTGGATATCAGGGATCTGTAGAAAGATTAATTTAGCACAGAAGATCACGTTTGGCTTGAAGGTCCCCTTTTCAGGTCTCTCTGACATCAGATGTTATGTTCAACTTGACGGGATTTCTGAATGTGGGTAGTGCAGTGCAGATAGGGTTCGAACGCTGCAAGTGAGAAGTGTGAAAAATTCAGGGGATGTTCCAGGCACCGCTAGACAGAACTATATTGATTTAGGAGGAAATCCCAAGGAGGAAATAGTTCTTGTCAACTGCTTACTTGAAGTTATGGTTATGCTACTCTTGCAGACTTCTATAAATTAAACTGCCGACAGTTGGCATCTGCCACTGTCACGGTGCTATAGGTCATCCTTCCCGTAGAATTTAATCTGATGCCAGAGTGACTTACCTGCCATGCAAATAGTGAGGGAGCATTTGGGAGTCAGGGGCAAGGCAGATCCTGCTTAGGGGACGTGTACGTAGCTCCGGCATGGAGAGGAGAGTGGGGACACAGCGTGGGACAGAGGGAAGCAGTACTCAGCCCCCTGGCAAGCAGATATTGAGGGACCACAGTACAGGAGTAAAAGAGTCCTGGGCAAAAAGGGGTGTCCATGAATGATATCGTGACCTGAACTGTCATGTGGTAAGTGTTTTCACATGATAGTGGTTCTTTTCACACTGAAATTGAATTTCCACACTGGGCTTCCTTGAATTCTATCTCCAAGTTGCTGTCTTTCCTCCCTCAATTCATGTGGAGGTGTTATCTACTAAAACAGGGAGGAGGTCATGTTGATTTTGGGGAGATTTTCCTACCTTGTAACTTGCCAACAGTGCAGCATCTGAGAAGTTTAAATTGGAATTAGCTGACATTTTGCTACTCTCCAAGGAATTCAAGAGTCTTTGAAGAACAGCCCATCTATGTGGGCTGAAGGTAGTCAGCTTCAGGGATAATTGATTCTGTCTGGAAACCTCTATGCTGATCCCTGAAACCAGGAGGGAAGGTTTGACATTGCTTACAGTCAGTGGGGACTTTTTTTTCTGTTTTTTTTTTTTACTGGATAGTTTCAGCTCAGAGTAACTGAAGATGGATTGTAGTACCTGATCAGCAAGATGTGAAAAGATTTGTTTTTCTTTACTTTACAGAAAAGGCCACAGATGGCTCTCTGCAGAGTGAAGACTGGACACTTAACATGGAGATCTGTGACATTATCAACGAGACAGAAGAAGGGTATGTGCAGTTTCAGCAAACTTTGAAAAGTTCATGAGCACAATCTTCATCCAGTCGTCCTCAGCGTGTGAGGAGGTGCAGTGAATCTGGGGGCAGACGCTCATAGTTTGAACACAGTTTGCATGAGCTGCTTTGTGAAAAATGTGAAAAATTATTGGAGAGGGTACCGAGCTTGTACTTCTGGGGTTCTCGTTTTCAGCAGGTGTATCTTTTTGCAGTGCTGCAAAGCTGTTCATTTTAGCCGTTTGACTAGAGAGCTCCTCTGATACATCTCCTTCAGCATCAGAAAAGCTGTGCTGCTTGCAGTTTGCAGGAGAACTGATCGCTGGCCTATGCCCTGGGCCTTTTTCTGAGTGGCTGTCACTCCTTCCTGCTTGATCAATATCCTGCCTTGTTGGATGCCGTGGGCATTGCTCTGGCCGTGACTTCTATCATATCCTGTCTTCTCACATAATTCTACATGACCCTAGTTTGGTTGTAGACAAGTTATCTGAAGTTAACATACATCCTTATGTCCAGCTGGAAATGGTGAAGGGTTTGTTTTCCCACAGTGTATGGCATGTGAAAAGTGTCTGAGCTGTCTTTTAAAAATGGTGTGTTTCTCCTGCAGTCCAAAGGATGCCATTCGAGCACTGAAGAAGAGGCTGAATGGAAACAAAAATTACAGAGAGGTCATGCTGGCGCTGACGGTGAGTGGGGGCAGGCTGGAATGCCTCAAAAGGGCAGAACCCTTTTCTTTTGTCATTTTCCTTTTCCTGGCACTCTCTTGAATGTACACACTCTTTGCTTTAACAGCCACTGCTCTGCCCTTTTCTTCTCTCCAATTGCCTCTTCGCTTCCTTGGGGAGAGTTGTGGAAGCTTTGCGTAGTGTTTTTCTGACTCAATTGATTTCTGCTTTTTTCTGGGCTTTTATTTATCCCAAGTACTGGCTGAGGAAAGTTAAAGTAGCCCAAATGGTTCTGTGTACCCTTTGGGGCTTTCGCTGCTGCTTCCATCTCCCTGTGCCCTACTGTTTCTCCACTCTGAGACAACAGCTGTGGGCATATCTGCAAGTGAGGATGATGAACTTGCCATATTTTCAGCTTCATAAGTAGCTGATGCACAATTTCCCTTGTGAATGGATCTCTGTAGGAGACTCAAATTAATTTATGCTGATCTAATTTCACTCAATAAAGTGTAAATTATATTCTGCGCACTTAGGCAGCACTGCTAAGGTGTGAGATAATTTGCCAGTGACCTTTCCTACTGATGACTTTAGCTCGGGGTTTCCTGGGTGATGCAGCTCTCCCGAACGCACGATGCCGGGCAGGCACGGCGCCACAGCCGTCTGAGGAATGAGCAGCAGTAACTAGATGGAGTTGTTCTGCTGTGGGTAGGTGATCTGTATGAGCCTTTCACACAGCTCTTGTTGCATCTCCCTGACAAAGCGTGACTGTGCTTTCTGTCTTCTTGCCGTTTCCTATCCCGGATTGTCATTTTGACAGATTACCAAAGACCAAACCATGAGATTATCCATTGCGCAGGAAAGAGCGAAATTCATCAGGAGTGAGTCCATGTCATCAGGGCTGAAGTAGGAGAGTAATTACAGACTCCTCAGATACAGAGTCGCAGTGGTTATTAGGCATGGCTGTAAGGAGAAGTGACGCATTGGATTTATCTCCATGCTAATCATGTTCTTCAGAGAAAAATCAACAGCTGTTCTTCCGTGGCAGTTGAATGGCAAGTGGAAGGTGCCTCTAGCTAGGTTGCAGGGGGAAAATGTGTCAAAGTATAACCTGTCAGAGCATTCACAAGGGAGTGTTTTGAATGAGTGAAGATCATTCACCTGAATTCCCAACTCTAAAACGTGGCTTATAGCTCACAGCAAGGGGGTCCAGCTGTGTTCCAGGTACACAGAAAATGGTGGAGTGCCACAGCACGATAATATCTCACTGTGACAGGATGTCCTCTGTCTTACCTGCTCTCGATGCGATGTTGTGTACTTAGCTGTTTGGCTGTGCAGGTTGGACAGCTTCTTTCTCTTCTGCTTTGAAGAGAAAGAAACTTTGTATTTCTTTACCTTGAAAACAGGCAAAGGTGAATCACAGAAGTGCCCAAAACGTTAATGGTGGGAGAGGTACATCTAAATATGTGTGTAGAGAAGGAAGCTTTTTGGTAAAATTGGGGAAGAAGAGAAGAATTAAGAGTATAAGTGTAATTTCTCCTCTGTCCTCTCTCCCTCCCATCAAAAGTTTTAAAAGGAAAAAAAAAAATCAAAAAGCAACCACATAGGTGCTCTGTGTGTGTGGTCAAGCTTTATTCCAACAATTGAATGGTTTTTTTTGTGTGTGTGTAGGTGTTGGAGACCTGCGTGAAGAACTGTGGCCATCGCTTTCATGTCTTAGTGGCAAACCGTGACTTCATAGATGGTGTTCTGGTGAAAATCATCTCGCCCAAGAATAATCCCCCCACTATTGTACAGGATAAAGTACTAGCACTGATTCAGGTACACGGCTTGTCTCTGCTTCCATATGTTGCTGCCTGAAATAAGGGCTGTCTGCTTCAGCGCTACACATCGCTGAACATGCTGTCATCATTAAAAATGTGGCGAGTTTTTTATATGTAAAAACAAACAATATATCCAGATTGGCAGGGAAGAGCAGACATGCACACGCATAGACATTTTATCCAGGGAGAAATGTCTGGATTCTAGTTAGAAAGGTACCGCTCTGCTCTAAAACAAGAGAGCGTAATAAAGGATGAGTGGATGGCTTTGCAATTTAACAGTCAAATCTAGAAGCTGGAGACCTGCTTCTGTGATGGGCTTGTCATCTGAGGCCAGGAAATTTTAGAGGATCACGCTTTCGCTGTCAGTTGCAGAACACTTACCTTTCTGTATCTGTTTCCCTGACCGTAAAATGGAGCTGTTTCCTTCCATTAGAAAGCATTCTGAATTCCTTTTAAAGATGGTTATAGAAAAGTAAATGACCGTATAGGAGTTAAAATATTTTTGGTGTCTTTTCTCTGGTTATTGTGCAGTAAAAGTGCACTGTCAGATCCTTGCCTGCAGTGGGGAAGTTCAGACATAGGCCTGTCTGCCACTTCTCCTTCTGTGCAGCATAACAATAAACAGCCATGTTAATTCCAGAAACCATTAGCAACACATGAGGAAACATTGGTGCCTGCCTGGAGGAAATGTGACAATTATTGGAAGCTTTATCACTAAGCTCCTACAGGCTATTGCGTACACCAGAGACTAAAAGACACTGCGTATTTAAAATGATATAAACCTGCTGCAGTGTTTCTTGTGGGCAGGTATTTACAAATGCGCAGCACAGTTTTCCAGATATACTTCTAATTTTTAGGGCAAAGCACGCAGTTGAATTTCGTCTGGTTTATTTGCTATTTGGATGCACAGATAGGACGTCGTTAGAGTACGGCGACATAAAGAAGTGATTTCCGAACAGAAAATAGCCTGGGTGGGGAAATGAGGTGGGCATTGCATTGCAGTCTGTGGCGTCCCTTTATTTCTCCTCTGTGATCTCAAGGCTTTCTAAAAAAATTGTGCAAAATTAATGGAATTATTAAAAGCAATTCTTGTGCTTGCAACTGAGCCCTTGAGCATCTGCCTGCTTTGGTGGGAGAGCTGACGCACGCGGGGACTAGGAGATGAGGTTAAATACTGTCCCATAAAGAGGAACTCTGCATGTTTCTGTACTGTTTGCTTTCCTACAGTATTTTAGAGGATGTTGGTTACGCTGGGTCCTGGATTTAAGTGGATTCCCAGTCATCAGTGCAACTAAGGTGGAAGCGTTTGTAACATAACCGAAAAGCTGCAGTCATTGCCTGAGTGTGTTAAACAGAGCCTAATCTGAGTAGGCTTAATGCAGTAGAGCTAAAAGCCTCACTCTGGGTACTAAATGCCTTTTGGTATAAAAAGCCTAAGAATTATGAAAGTTGCCTGTGGGTGGGTTCTGTTAGTGTCTCTTTAGCTGGAGGTGGTAGGGGACTTTGTTTTCCAGATTGCCTGACAAGTTTGGAAGAGTGATTGCAGTCACTCATCTCAGCTGCCCGATGGACACGCACACCCAAAATACTCCGTACGTCATGACCGCTTTGCTCAGCTTAGACTTTGCTCCTTAGAGCTCCCTGCAGCTGGAGTTAACTCCATTTCAGGGGCCTGATCTCTTCTCAGCTCTGCTTGACTAACATTACATTTATCCCCTTCTGTAGGCTTTTTACGATTTGATATCAGGGAATTAATAAGAACAGAAATGGGAGGCTCAGTAGCAATTGGGAGCATGGAAAAAAGCTCTACCAACAGCATATGTCTTCAGCCACACAGCTCTTGTGCTCCTGGGCCTTCCGTAGCAAGGGTAGATAAAGCTGCCATGCAATTTCTTATCTAGAGACTTGACTGTTTCGAGATGTTGGGCATCTTGTGTCTCACTTTCTCAACCTATTTCCCAGTGTACATAAATTAGCATGTATTACATATTGCTTATCCTTCCTTCTTGTGCCTCTGGTAAGAGCTTGTGTGTCACCTCGGAGTTCACACCACCTTACTGCCTGGTAGCTGTGCACTGCCATCAGAGGTGAAGCACGGGGAGACTTCTAGTGGCATGGCAAATTCTTTTGAGGCTACATGTGTTAAAAAGTGTCCAACACTGGAAAAATTGTCTTGAAACCATCCCTGATTTAAGGGCCAGATTTGCAGTGGTATTTAATTAACCTGTTTGGGCACAGTGAGGTACCAAGTGGGATTTATACAAGAGCATCCTCAAGCATCTACCTTTGATAGTCTGGCCCAAAGTCTTAGAATTCAATCTCACCTCTGTCATATGCTCGTTTGGACAATGGGCGAGTCTCCTAAGCTGTGTGTGTAGCTCCTTATCCGTAAAGTAGAGCTAGTATTACTGTTACCTAGCTGAATTGTAAGCTGTCTAGGCCAGGGATTGTCTTACAATGTGTGTAGACAGCACTTAGGACAATTGAGCCCAGTCCTGCTTGTGACCTCTGAGACACACACTAATGTAGATAATGCTCCCAGCTCAGGCGAAGAAGAATACAAATGCAAGTGTCTCCTTTCTCCAGGGAAGAGGGTTGCAGAAGAGAGAATATATTAAAAAGGTAGAGTGCAAATGAAGTGACTGCAGTGTCATTAGTGCCTACAACAGAATCTATAGGAAGCCAGTGAAACAGGGGATGCATTAGTACATCCTCCTGGGCAAACAAGCCTCATTAAAAGTTGGGGGCAGCAACGCAGCACACTTTCGTCTTCAAGTTTCCTTGGAGCGATTATTAAATAGAGCATCCCTCGCCTAACGTTTTTCACTCCTACTTGCAAATAGTGTTGAAGTGGGGAACACCATTGTGCAGAAGCAGCATTCAGATGACTTCTTATGTAAATTGAAAATGCAGAGAGAGAGCAAGGGCAGAGTTACTTGTACTGCCAATATCTCCGTCAGAATTAGGGATGGTTTGGGAGGTCGGTTCCAAGGAAACAGAATGGCTCTTTGCGGTCGGAGCTGTTTTCTCTGGCTCAAATAGGGCTGTTTGGACTTGCACTGCATCAGAGCAGTGGGTGCAGTTAATTTACTTTTAACAAAGCTGAGAATCAAACCCAGAATTGTTAGCTTGCATCTGATAATGGGTTGTCTCCTGGGCATGTAGAGTAGGCAATGCTCTTTCTTAGGATTGAGCAGAATGGGAATGTAAGTTAAATGTTAATATTATTTCTTATCTTGCTTTGCTATCTTTGATTTCTCTTCTCTCAAATATAAAAAGTGATTAAAACCAGCTTTTAAAGTAAAAATAGTCAAAGCACTAGTGTAAAAGCGATGACTAAATGAATTAAGTTCAGAGCCCACACATCCGTCTCGCAGTAGTTCTGGATCCAGCACACTGATACTCTACCTCACATATGTGGGGGTTTGTGGAACGCTTCATTTTTAATTGAGTCATAACATTTCAATTTTTCCTTCCTCTAAACTTTTAATACTTGGCTAATTTCCAGCAAAAGTGAAAGGGGGTAGAGACTTTCAAGATACCGTGCTCCTGGCAGCTTCACAAGTACGGGAGGCTGGCTAGCGAAGAGAAGCACTTAGTACTCCCACCGAAGGAAAAGCTCCAATGTGAATTGAAGTCTTTTTAGACACGAGAGAATTCATGCAGGAGAGATATTTTGAGTGTTCTGGCTGCGGGAAATTCTCCCTTTAAGCTTGTTCTTTCTGACACACCAGGGTGTCTGAAGCATTGGATGTGCTCTGTGAGAACCAGGCTTCATTAGTCCTGCCGCTCATGGGACTGCATGTTTCACGATATAAGAACCTCAGAAACTACCTTTTTTATATGAGTTTGGTCCAAATAAAATACTGAAGAAAACTTGGCAGCTGTGGTTTTTTTCTTTGGCAACAAAGGAGGATGTTTCACGAAGTAAATCGAGATTACCTAAGATTATTGTATGACTTTATGAATTTGGCTTAGATCAATCTAATCTTTCATGCAGACTTTTTCTGATGGGTCATTGGCCATGGAATATGCAAGAAAAGATCAGCATGCAGTCATGGCTAAGGAGAGGAGGTTGGAAGAGGCTTTCATTTGCATTTACAGATTTTGATGATGTCAGGGGCTAGGCATAGCTACTGTGCACTGGGTTCCTGTCTGTTTTATATTTGAATAAAATGTGTACGTGACTGTCTTAATAATATTTGCAGGATGTTTTAGACCGGGTCTAATGATCACAGCTTCCCTTTGAAGCTGAAATACATGAAAGCTTTTGTAGTCAGTATCTGAGGTCAGGGTGGAGCTGGAACTTCGTTTGGAAGGTTTATGGATAATCCCTCATGTTTTCCAGGCTTGGGCTGATGCCTTTCGAAGTAGCCCTGATTTAACTGGAGTAGTGCATATTTATGAAGAACTCAAGAGGAAAGGCATAGAGTTTCCCATGGCAGATCTTGATGCTTTGTCTCCAATACACACACCACAGAGGGTAAGCAGTAGCATTGCGATTCCAGGGGTATTTTCCCCAGATATCTGAATAGTTGGATAACTACTCTTCTTTCCCCTCCTGTTTCTCTGAATTTGGCTCATTTTCTCGCTCGTGCAAGGACTGTTTTAATAATGAAAGGGCATGTAGGAGAGGCATAATACAGCTGCATTTGACAGGCTGATAAGCTAATGATATCTCCTCCCTTGAGTTAAACATCAGTCTGAGGAGAGAAAAGAGTTTGGAGGAGGTTTGTACACTTGTGTGTTGTACCACAAAACCACCAGAGAAATGCAACTAATTTGTTCAGAGAGAATACATGATTGAGATTTACTTTTTTTGCTCAGAAGTATGGTTGTTTCTGTTGGTGATAACTCTGGACCAAGGCCTGCCTGTCTTTTAAAGGTGTACAGAGTCTCCTTGTCTCGCTGATCCCATGGTAACGTGAGATCTTTACACCTCTGAAAAGTTAGGTCTGGAAAGTTGACAGAAAGGAAATAACTTAATGATCACAGGTGTTCTGATTATTCACTCTGAAAACTGAAGCTAATGAATCTTTGAAGTGGTAAATGCAAGTGATCAAGGACTGAAAGATTACAATTCTTGTGTCAAGATTAATTAAATTCAATATCTGTCTATCACATCAGTTTTTGTAAGCCTGCAACTTAATTCCGAGTTTAAAATAATGTGTTTATCGTTGGCTCTTGTTTTTATTTTGTTTTTCACCTTTCTTTAAAAGGTAAATTGCCTTAAATGCATGTGGGTTGGGTCGAAAGATACGGGCGTGCAGTTTTGTTGCAGCTGCCTGTTTATGGGCTGGCCTGCCAGTCTGTTCCCGTAACTGCACTGACCTTTTCCACAAGGTGCAATTATGTTCTATCTTTAAGCATATTTGGCCTGAGGTTGCTGGCAAAGCAAGTGCCGTCACAGTTCAGCTTTTGAACTCGTGTCTTTCTGATGTGACAGAGTGTTCCTGAAGTCGATCCTGCAGCAAATATGCACAATTCACAGTCTCGGCAGAGGATGAGCACCAGTTCTTATTCTTCATCTTCTCCAACGGCATACTCTGCTCCTCAGGCCCCAGCTCTGAATGTGACTGGTCCCATCACTGCTAATTCTGAACAGGTATCAGGATGACGATTCTTTTGGGTGAGACTCTTTCAGCAGATCAAATCAGAAACCGATTTGCAGAGGAACTCTCATTTTAACTCTTTTGACTTTGATTGCCTCCTAGGTTTGGCTCTACTTGGTAATCCTTCCTCCTATTATACTGTAAAATCTAGGCTTTCTGTCTGTGTGTGTAGCCTCCTAATGGCAGCAGTTACAAAACCTCACAATCTGGTGTACCAGTCCACTCAGCTGTTGTGCAATAGATTAGCAGTTGTTCTCATTAGCCCCCTCCCTTTAAAGGCACAGAACGTCTTGCAGATGCAGGAAGTCTAGCAGAGAGTTAAGTCTGCATCCATAAGATCCTTGCAAAAGCCCTAATATAGCATCTTATTTTCTCTCTGCAAAAATAATAACTTCAAAGCCAAAGATCCTGCTCAAAATCTATACGTCTTTCCCCACGCTTGAGTGAGGTGCACAAGGTGTACTGCGACTCAGGTCTGGTTTTAGCTGCTGTTTTCAATTGCTCCCCTTCCATACAAGCATAACACATCTGGGTTTGTGATGATAGTGAGTGATTCTACAAAGTTCTTTTCTTTGTCTCTTGCTTTTCTAAAATTCTCTCCTGGGTAAACTTTTTATCTTTACTTTTTTTTTTTCCTGCTAGAATGTCTGGAGGCTCAGATACTGAGTCAGACAGAACCAGAGGTGTCACAAAGTCGGTTCTTGAAAATGATCTGCTTAAACCGAAAGATTATGCAGTGTTTTGCTGTCTTTTTACCCCAATCTAGATTGCCCGGCTGCGCAGTGAACTGGATATTGTTCGTGGGAATACAAAAGTGATGTCTGAAATGCTGACAGAAATGGTACCTGGACAAGAGGATTCCTCAGACCTGGAGTTACTCCAGGTAACAGTTTCCTAGCAAATATGATGCCCATCCTTTCTGGGCTTGAGTTTCTCTGGGGGGTGTGGTTTTTGTTGTAGTTCATTTCACTGCCTTGGTGTGCTTGGTTTACTTAAAGAATGTGGGCTGTGCTTGACCCTGGTTAGTCTCATCACTTGATTTCTTAGAGCTTCCAGTGACAAGGATTTCCTGACTTCCCTTGAAACTCGTTCCAGTGCTTTCTTCTCCATGTAGCTAGAATTTTTTTTCAATGTTGAATATAAGATCTCCTTTGCCACAAAACAGCTTAGAATTGCTGTAGACACTGTAAGCCCTGAGCATTTCTGCTTCTCTTACATCCTCCATCATCACTTGTACAGTGTCAAAACATTCCCAGTCACTGTGCAGGAAAAAAACACTCCGTGTTTCCAGCTGGACTAAATATTGCAAAGGGACTGTGGATTCTCTGCCTCTTGAAATCTTGTAGATGAACTAACTGTCTTTCTAGAAGATGAACTGTAGCTTCTCCTGAAGGTAGTCCCTTAAGGCAGGTGCTCAGGTGAAGTTTCGTGCTCTCTGGAGGGTTAGACTGGGTGATCAGAAGGAATTTGTTTGCTGGAAGGTCTCAATCCAGTGCAGCATTTATTACCTCAAGAGGGAATACAGTGTAAGTTAAGCTCATGTCTCAGGCTTCATACCTGTTTCCCTAGGCCAGTGGTAGTGGGGTGGCCTTTTGGCTGAGGAAAGTAATACAGTGCTATTTGCAACACCGGTGAGGAATGCTGTGAACTAGCATTCCAGCTGCTGCCCTTACCATGGTATTTGCCTTTCCATAGCTTCAGAAATAGGCTTCTGTTTTGATCCTCCAGCAGGGAGGATGGGCTCCCACAGCAGTACGTTTGGAGAAAGGCAGGGAATTGCTCTCTGTGATACATCAGAGTCTGAAATCCATCCAAAAACTGGTCTCTCCCATGCAGCGATATTGTGTGTTTGTCTCCGAGCCATCATGGCAGCTGATGAGAGGCTTTGCAATAAAGAGCCTTTCAGTTACTGCCCATTTGGGTCGGACTGCTCAAAACAAAAGCTTCCAGGAAACCACCACAGACCAAAACAGCGTAGAACAGTTTGCTTACATTCAGAAACAACTACTAACATCTTGACAGCGTAACCTTACAGCATAGCTTTAAGGTGAAGAAACTTGATCATCAAACGGAGTGACGGCAACGGTTCTTTATTCCAACTGGTTCCCTTCTTTGGCTGATGCATCCTAAATCGGAATCACAGAGCTGGGGAGAACCCGTTTTTGATCACAAAGGATGGTTAGTCTTTTGAAAGCTGTGAGCCGGGTGCTGCACGCAAGGACTCCTTGCTTTGAGGTTTATATAGCCCTCCTCCTTAAATAATTCCTGACATTTTCTCCAACAATCAAATGTAAACAGCTTGCTAGAGAGCCAGCTCTGAGCAGAATAGATAGGTACTGTCAGCCCTCTCGGAAAGGCAGCAAACAAACCTCTGAAATGTCACAATCTGCTTCTAAAGTGATGGGATCAAAACTGACATTGGAGAACACATTCCTCAAGCTGTTAAGGCAGCTGGATTGTGCTAGGTGAAATTTATCCAGGGCTTAGGATGTCAGACCAAGCAAGGAAAACAAACACATTTTTGCTTTCATCCCGAAGGTTGTGTACCAACAAGTCATCCCTGTTTAGTGCTGAATTTTTGCTGTGAAGTGGAGCTGGGGGGGGTAGAAGATGACAGAGGGACATGCTTTAGTTGAAATGTCAGTGCTTATTGAAGTAAAACCGTGGGCCTAATCAGTGGCGCCATGCCATATGTCACGTTTCTTCTTGTAGGTCCTCCTCAACATAACCGGTTTTGACCTTTGATCTTGAGGCCTTTCAGGAGTAAAGAATTCTGCTAAGTAATTGGTGATGGAAGAGTTGTCCTGGAAGCACAAGAACTCCTGGTTTAGGCGAACTCAAATCTAAATTTATCGGCATGAGACACTTCTAAAATAAATGCCCTTACTCGATATTTTTAAAAATTTCCTTCTGAAAGTCCCCACTGCCTTTTTGCAGTCTCTAGTCTGCGGACTGGCTCAGCTGAAGGGAAGGTTTCTGTGTACAGTTCAGTACTGCAGTGTGTGGAGTGCTCATCTTCTCCTGCTCCTGCTCCTTGCTTTGTGTTCACCCTCGTGTTCTCAGTAGTCAGTAAGTTCTGTGTCCCCAACTCTTCTCTTCCTCGCACACACTTAGCTACTTATGGTAGCCCTGATGAACTTTTTTCCCCCAGTTGTTCCACCATGTGCATCTTCTAGTTTTTAAGGATGATACTGCCAAAAAGGACAGATTGAATTTTCCGTGAAAGCTCTCTTCTGGAAAGCTGTTGTATTAATATATTTTATTCTTAAAACAGATCACTAAAATACAGATATTTATTTTCTGAAGTGCTCAGAGTTAAAGAAGAATCAGGATGTTGAATTGTAAATAGGCTCTCAAGGTTTTATGCCATCGTCTCTTGAAGGGCATGTTTGATTAGATGTGCTTTTGGGTGACATTTAATCATGCAAAGATAGACTTGTCTTAGTGTTTCTCAGCCGGGGGATATGTTTGGCTGTGAACAGAGCTCGACTAAATCTACTTATTGCTAGCTGCTTATCAGAATGTGTGTGCACGGTGCATTCCTCCTAGGAACTGAACCGAACCTGCAGAGCTATGCAGCAGAGGATCGTGGAGCTTATCTCACGAGTGTCCAACGAAGAAGTCACAGAGGAACTACTGCATGTGAATGATGATTTAAATAACGTCTTCCTCCGATACGAAAGGTGGGGCACCTTTTCCATCACCTGTGTACGTTTGTTCTGAGTTTTCACTTAAGTGTAAAGAATGGACAGTTGACAAGAGTTGGCCATCTGGGCCAATGGTGCAACATAACAAAATGCAGAGAACAAAACCACAGAAAGCATTTACAAAGTCTTTTTATTGTCTTTTATGACAACATTCCTGTTTCAGTTCTTTCTTTTAATAGTATGTTGGGTTTTTTTTGTCCTAGCCATTGAATTTTTGTGGGGCACATCCGTGAAATGCAGGGCAACCTTGTGCAAAACTCTCAGAAGTGGCGGAGACTTGAGTCTGCAAGTCACTGCTGTGTGGTGCTGTACAGATGTAGGGACTTGGGACCGAAAATACCACAGCCACAGTCGCTAGTTCTACTTGCTAGCTTGGGCTCAGCACCAACGCTTGTGCTGGTTCCTGGCTTAGGGAGGCTCCTGTGAGCTCTGTCTTCTGATCTCTGAGCTTTCTAGTGCCAGTCCTGGTGCCAGGGGAGCTGTCTGAGGTGGGCGAGACCTTCATGCACGCAAGGGTTTTGTTTTCAAGTAACACTTAAAATCTTGAAAAAAGCCTGTCTTGCGCCGAGCTGAGGTTTTGAAGAGTTGGGGTACGGGAATCGTCCCCAGGGGCAGGACTTGGGTCATAGGACTTTCGACATGTGAGACAAAGGCGCTGTCAGCCACATCTGCTGCAGCAGGTGACACGTGATACAGCAGTCTTGGGAAAGTTTAATCTTCCCCTTAATGACAGGCCTGGGGAGGGAGGCACTAAAGAGTACCCTTTGTTCCTTGCTCTTAGCACAGGGCTTTGTTTCTCAAGCCTTTAAAAATAAATTAGACTCCAGATCTGTGAATCTGTGCTGTCACGGCAAAGGCTGGAAAGAAGACGCAGCGGCCTCGATTTTGTCTTTGATTTAGTGGTTCGGCGGAGATCGGGGCGAACTTTGAAACAAACACTGGCTTTTTATGTGAAATGGTGTGTGTTTCATGCACGAGCATGATTCTACAAGAGGCAGAGTGTAACTGTCACTAAGGCTCAGTCTGGTCACCCTTAATATTTTTTCTGTTTTCCTCCATCTGCGCCTTTGCTGACGGGGCTAATGTATTTGTAGTCATTACATACTGAAAGGTGAGCTGAGTGATGTTAGCAAGCCATTTGCAGTAGGATAGCTGCACTGGTCTAAGCATTTCAATAAATTCCAGTGCCTCCTCTGCTATTCCAAAAGCTCCACATTCATCACGCTGATTTCCAGTATGGGTACCGAGCTCTGCCAGTGACTCAAGCAGGAGCTCTGGCCTTCGCTGTGAAGCTTTGGATGTAAACGAACGTGTGGTTCGTAAGCCTTCTGGTGAGAAAGATGAGGTGGGAGGTGTCTTAGCTTTCCAGCTAAGGGAGCTGGATTTCCAGTAATAGTTGACACCCACAGTTTCCTAAAATTGAGATTGGGCCCGAATTTGGTTTTGCTGCCTTTTAAGTCTGCATTTTCTTCTGTTACATTAAGAAAATGTTTTTGTTTGCTTGAGATTCCCTGTTACATTTTGTCCATTTGGGAGAAAACCCACAGAATTATATGAATATTACAGGTTTTTTACTGAAAAGAGAGGTTACATAGAATCACAGAATGGTTTGGGTTGGAAGGGACCCTAAAGATCATGTCGTTCCAACCCCCCTGCCATGGGCCGGGACACTTTCCACTAGATCAGGTTGCCCAAAGCCTCATCCACCTTGACCTTGAACACTTCCAGGGATGGGACATCCACAACTTCATTGGACAACCTGTTCCAGTGTGAAATTACTTTTAAATGAGGAAAATTTCTAACCTTAGAGAAATCACGGTGCTTTTCCTGGTAAGGAAGGAGATCGGACTGGCCTCAGACAAGCCTTTGGGGGAGGTAGTTCCCCCTGCTTTTCTGAGCTCATGAAAGCTGGGTTCAGGTTCGCAGCCCCAGCTGCACAGCTGCTTGGGGAAGGAGTAGGGAAGAGACCAGATCTTGACTAGCCAGACTTCTTCCCCTAAGAATTATGAGAATTTTTATCCAACATCATTACTTTTCACTCTTGCAAAGTACCAACCTAGTTGAACATAGGCTCTGACGATCTTTGAGCTGACCCAGAATGTTTTAAGAAATTAATCTTCTAATCATTGTTTCTCTTGCATACGGCTTCTAATTTGCATGGACTGCAGCAAGAGGGAGCTGTTAAGTGGGAGTAAGCCTTGCTGCGGCGCTCAGCTTATTAAGCTCGGAGCATCAATCTCCCTGCAGTTCCTCCTGTCCCTTGGCTAACAGAATAGTCTATCACGAAGCACTTAATGAAAAAAAAAAAACCAAACCAAACCCAAAGACAAATCCTACAGTGTTTTTCATGGATGTGTGTGCTGCAAGATCAGATTAGTCAACTTAATACCCACGTTTGCCAGGAATGCAACTTCTGCAACTGTCCTCCCTTTGTCCTGGTTTGGGATTAAAGCTTTCAGGGTTCTCTCTTAAACCGACAAAAACTAAGTTCAGTGGCAAACATGTCATGGCTTTGTTATAAACTCCTGTTTTTTGTTGTTTATTGGTGGCTTTGATAGTCCATGTTGGTTTTTTTTTGTTTTTTCCTAAACAGATTTGAACGATACAGATCAGGACGTTCAACACAAAACGCCAGCAATGGAGTAAGTACCTAACTCCCTTTGTTGTATCAGCAGCTTCACCGTACTAGCTGTACGGATATCACTAGTATCAGACCTTTTTTTACCTGCCCAGCCCTGTGTCCTGCCTGTACTGGCTAATAGGAGATACCAGGAAAAGAGCCTAAGAATGTGGCAAACCACAAGTGACAACTTTTAGCTCAGCAAGACACTACCCTAAAACATCTCTGTGGATGGATTTTCTTTCCTCTATTAACTTCCTTGATTGCTTTTGAGTCCATGTGGACTTGAGGCATTCACAATGTCCTTAAACAGTGAGCTTCACAGTTTCACTACGCATTTTTATATTTCTGTGGATATTTATATATAACAAATATTTTGTTTACATTAGATCAAGTCACTTAATAATTTTCATTTGCTCCACCTAATTCTTCCTCACTCTGTCTTACAATACTGCTGCTCAGGTTAATTTTCTTCATGCCACTCATAATTTTAGGAACCTCTCTCATCTCTTTTCTCAGCAGCCCCTTTCCAAGCTGAAGAGTTACAGTTCTAATTATTATTTCAATGAAAACTATTTTGTAGTTGTTTTATAGTGTTCAAGATCTAAGTTCTTGATGAATTCATTCGTGGCACTATTACATTTTCTATTCTGCATTCTTCTAACCATTTCCTCTATTTATTTTGCCTGTTTGATTGACACTTCTACTGCAGCATGATGCAAACTTCAGCACAGACTCTGCATTGTAACTTTAGTCACAACAAAGAAGTTTTGTTTCTGAAAACAGTTTGTACCTAATGTGGCAGATGGGAGCAAATTCAGTTTGACTTAGATCTAGTGTTGGCCCAGTGCTAAAAGAGGTGGAGAACACAGACGCATAAGGTAAACCTGAAGAGATGTAGATGACCTCCAGGAGAGTTTCCTGCTGTGCTGAGCAGTCAAACTGGGGTTTTTTTGGTGGCTGACCCTTATTATCCTGCACTCATCACCATGGTATCCAAGAGACTAGTCCATTTGGCAGTATGCAAGAGAGATCTTTTTAGGAAGCACTCGTTATTTTTTGGTGTTTAATGTTGCACTGCAAGAAGAAATCTCTGGCATGTGTAACTTGCTCTGTTTCTTGTGTCCCAACAGGTACTGAACGAGGTGACAGAAGATAACTTAATAGATCTGGGTCCTGGCTCTCCAGCTGTAGTGAGCCCAATGGTTGGAAACTCAGCACCCCCATCTTCACTTTCCTCACAGCTTGCGGGGCTTGGTGAGTACCTGATCTAAACAGTGCTGATGAACATGAGGCTGCAACGCGTGGACTTCTTCAAGCCTAACCAGTCTGTGGATGTTGAACAGCAGGCAGGGCCTGCTAGGCAGTCCAGGTGTGTGATTGTGGGACAAGTCTGAGTGGTTGTTGAGGTCCCTGTGACCAACCTGAGCACCCAGCACAAGCCCTGATTGCAGTGGGCGGTTGGTATTTATGAGGAGCCATTTTTCACTTGTTGGTCAGGGAGTTTCTGCACCTTTTGGTTCTCCACTACCTGATGGATGTTGCCACGTAGCCTTCAGAAGGTCTGAGTATGAGGCAGGATTAGGAGGGCTTTCCCACTCCCCTGCACTGCAGCAGTCTGTAACTGGGAACAGTTACAGCCTGACACAAAGGGAGGGATTTATTAACCAAAGGGCAGGCTGAAAGAAAGTGCAGGTTCTTGTTTATGGTAAAGCTGTACTACTGCTTGTATTTCTGCTTATGTATAGCTTTCCATGAAATCCGTCTGGTGAATGTTCTTGATTCCCCTTCTACAAATAATATTTGAAATCTTTGGATGAAAGGTTTTATGAAACTGTTAGGTGTTTTACATTACATCAAACCAAAGATTGCTTGATAGGATCACTTGATTTGGCTGAAGGTTCTCCCCCTCTTTCAGCACTAAGTCAGTATTGTATCACTGGATTTGAAAGTGTTGGTTTCACCGTCGGTAGCTGAGAGACAACATTGTGGAGAAGGCTAGTAGCCATGCTCCAAATTTTGTAGCATATTAGTGAACAGTAAATATCCCAGGATGAGATTGGCAGCAGGTGCACACCGGTTCCCAAAGTCCAGCTTCTTAACGACGAGTGCTTATGGTGTGGTGCTTCCAGGAGGAGTAGGACAATCTCTACATTAGTCTTTTAAGAAATGCATGATTAGCAGCCTCCAGCCTCTTCTGGACAGGACTGTGCTCAGTGCTGCAGCTGTTGACTAGATGGGATCTATAGCTGTCCTGTGTTGTTAATGACTCCTCTGTAGCCTACATAGTCATGGCAGTGGTGCTTGCGTATGCTTTGCTGTTTCGTTGGTTCACTTTTTTTGCCTCTGATTGCAGACTTGGGTACAAACAGTGTCAGTGGCACACTCAGCTCTCTACAACACTGTAATCCTCGTGATGACTTCGACATGTTTGCACAGACAAGAGGCAGTTCCTTGGCTGAGCAGCGAAAGAAGTACGTTGGAGTTTGTCTTTAGCGCTGTTTGAATCACAGCATTCCTGTTTTCTAAGGGCATAAATCTGAAACTTCTTGACTTTGTTCCAGACTAAAGTAGTTTTGGTGTATGTTTTTGTGCTTTCAATCCAATCCCTATCCTGTAGGTCATTATTAGTATGAGTAACTGGAGAAATTCCT